CTTGATGGAGAGCGAAGTGATTTTACGAATGAGCGTCGCCTCATGGCGCGTTGCGCTTAAATGTGCATGCGGCGTCTTCAGCGCCGGCAACAGTGTCGATGCGCGTCCCTTCCAGAAATTTTCCTTTGGCGTGAGAAAACGAAGCTTCTAGAAGTTTCGAAGGCGTCCCTTTTTTGTGAGTGCTGGCAGTAAATAATATTTCAAATCGTAAACTTGCTCGGACTTGCCGAGTTTTGTTTGTAAACATTTTGCTCGAGTACCCGCCTCGGTCCGTACGTGCGGATCAGCCTAGGCGCACGTGGTGGCCAGCCTTGCTGCACGCGCGGTCAGTCTAGGCGCACATGCGGTACGCCGGACTGCGTATATGACCATTCTTTTGTTTGAAATTCATGGGACTGCTTCAATCCCGAACAGATATTCTATCTCTTGTATTATAACTAATTAATATCATATTATGTAAGGATATTTATAAAACAGCCATTCTTTTATATTTTTTGTATAATATTTTCTTAATATGTAAAATTTTTATGTAAATTTTGATAAATAATAATTATCAACAGTAAATTAAATATTGAATAATTTTAAATAAAGCGAGAGATAAAATAAGTTTAAGAGTAATTGCATAACCGGTGAACCTCCATTCTGTAGGTCACTGGATTCAAAGAGATCGTACAAGTTTGTAGCTGTCGCAGAACTTAGTTATATGGTTATGATTAATTTAAACTATCATAAAGTGTTATTATAATATAATATTGCATAGTTTTACACTAATATATTTAGAAAATAGGTTATTAAAAAAAGAATAATTATAATTTCGTGTAAGCCGATTGAAATAAGAAAATGAAAAATGTAATCAAATGTATCTACTGACAAATTTATTTAATAACATTTCCATATTAAATATATATTTTAAGTATATGTTGTCTGTGCTTCTTTACATTTAAAATTTGCTTCGTTCTTTAAAACGAGTTGATTATTGATTTTAATTATTTTTTGATTATTTTGATTTTAATTATTATTTAATATTATTCAAAACTGTTTTGAATAGTAATGAAAATTATGTTAATCTAATATAATTTAACAGAGAAAATATATAAAATAAATATTTAATAGGCTTTCTATCAGATATCTAATGTGAAGGGTCCAGTATTTAATAAAATATTAAATTTTTTACTAATAATAAATACCGTCAATATTATAAATTATAACCAAATAATTTGTATAGAAGTTTCAATATAAATAATTATTGAAATGAAAAATATGAATAGGAATGATCGAGTATTATATTAATCTACAGTTATGAATAAAACGCAACGCGTAAACAATTTTAACAGATTTTTCTCGTTAAACATAAAGATGAGGTTGAATTTCCTTTCTGTGTAATTTATTGATACAATTATTTTAATAATCATATTTATTCGACATTTACAATATTATACAAATTGAATTATGCAAATGTTATATTAAAAATATAAATATGTATGTATTACACGTTTTTTTTAGTAATTATCAATTTATTATTTGAATAATGTTATGGCATATAAATAGTAAGAAACTCATTGTAATACGTTTATATTCTATTAAATTTACAATATAAAGAAACTTGTTGAAGAAAATTCAAAATATGATTAATTTCTTTTATTACTTATGATATTAATTTTATTAAGCTTCTACTAAAGAATGAATCACAGTATAATTGAAGCAATAATTAGATAATATTTTATTTATGAACTTAGTCATATTTTAAGATATTTAATTTGTTTAGAAAATATTACGTTTGATAAAAGTAAGTACATAAAGTATATGTAAAACATAAATATTAAAAATTAAAGTATTTGTTAAATATTAATTACAAGTTAGAAGATTTCCTTGTACAATACAATGATTTGTTACTTTCAAATACGTTAATATTTCATTTTAGTTAGTTTAATAAATATCTGACTGGTAATATTTACAATAATTATAATATTTCATAAATAATTTTATATAATATATTAATTATGCAATCTGAGTTTTTCCTGATTTATTGATATGTACATAAAATTAGAATGAGAATCGTATGCGTAGAAAGTAAATATTATAAAAATAATAATTCACTATAGCATTAATATCATAAATTAAATTCTAATTAATTATATAATTCTGTATCTATAACTCATTTTAAATGTGAGAGCATGAAATTGTATTTTAAAGAAAGTATATGATTTTAAATTTATTTAGATAATTGAAAATTACAAAATTCTGGACTAATTCAATTTTTTTAGAGTTTTCCTTAGTACTGTAATTACATACAAAAAGGTTTGCAAATACTTAAATATGTGTTGATTCATTAGATTTTTCTATTTTAAATAAATAAGACAATAAATATAAGACATTGTCATAAAAGTGTAAAATTTCTTTATTTTAAAATTATTGATAATAAAAATGATTATTTAAAATGAACATTTAAAGCTATGTCATTGCAAATTTAATTGAATTTTTAATACTTTATATTCATTATTATTTTATTAGATAAGAAACTATTGTATTAGTAAATTTTTATAATTAGTAATTAATTCTATATAATTAAAGCTAAATTTAGTATTAATACAGCATTTGTAATACGGAAAATTTATATTATAATAAAGTTTCAATACAGTAAATATTTCTTAAGTATTATCTGAATAAATATCATATTGTTATAATATTATGAATCTAATTTTATTTTAAACCAATAACGTTATATATAAATAAACACTTGAAGACTACTTATTTTCTAAAATTATACAAATTTTAATAATTATAAAGTGTAATGAAAATAAATTATATATTTTTGATAAATATTAATAAATTCTATATTTATTTATCATTAGTAACATATATTACTTGAAAATTGAACATTAACTCATCACTACTGAATGGGCACAATCAATTATTTAATAAAATTTTTCTTAAATCATAAAATTTTCATATTAGATTGATACAATTCGTCAATAATACAATAAAAAATCGAAAAATAATTTAAAATTCGGAAATTAACCAATAACTAGTAAATATGTAAATACCTATAAATAGGTGAGTCAGTTGGTTCTTTGTACCAGATGACGAGATGCACTTTATCACTAGGTACTGGAGGTTCTACATCGCATGGTAGTTGCGCAATATTTCCAGCCACTGCTTGTGCCTCACTCATTGTCACTGTAATGATAAAATTCATGGCTAGAATTATGTGGATGAATTTGAAGATTGAGCACCTTATCATTTCGATTATTTAAACACGTATATTTAAAATTACTTTTTATCCACATTTTTTTATTCTGTAATTAGTCAGATCTCTTTCATTTATTTGAATGTGAAAAAACTATTATGCACAAATTTTTTATTGTAATTTAATCATTTTTATTTTTAACTATTTTATAATCATTTTTCGCTTATACTTCTTCTATAATAGATTTTAGAATATAATCTTCCATATTAAAAATATTTATTTTCAAATACTTCTTTTTTTATAGTTTAAAGGTGAATTATATATAGAAAAAAAGTATAGATAAATAAGATTTCGATATTCAGCAATTTCCCTTCGATAGTTTATTTATAAATATTTATTTATTTTATTTATAAATCGATATATTCATACATTAAATATATTAGGTTTTATCATAATATTATTAACAATTTAAAATTGTTAATTATTAATGTTTTATATATATTGTATATAAGATATCGTTGAATTAACTTTATTATAAAATTCTTAAAAAATTATTCCGTACAATAATAAATATTCATAAGTTCAACATTCTTTTATGTATTTATTTATAATTATTTATATTGTACTTCTATAATTTATATTTGCAATATTTTAATACGGAAACCTCGGCAATATTCTTGTTCCTAAATCTCTATAAAAAAGAAAAATATATATATTTAAATATAACGATATATATTTAATATAGAAATAGAAAACATATATCTTTGTATAAAGAATAAAGCCCTTGGTAGGAATTTTCAATTCCATTTTGCAATATAACATGAAATAATGCTAGTAACTTCTGCCTACCCAACGGTTTGTGGATTCTGGTTACTACCATTATTCATTTAAAATGAAGAAGAATAATTTCGTAAATATGATAATTCTAATTAAAATTGAAATTATTAATAATGATAATTAAATCAAATTACATAGTACACTAAAAATAATTTTGAATTAATATGAATGCATTAATTTCGATTTTTCTACATATTAATATGTTTTAATTATATTTTATATGTATATATTTTATAAGTAAATATATTTTTCAATTTAACGAATTAAGCTAAAAGAAAATAATAAAACACACCTCCACTTATGCTTAGATGCGTGTACGCACGCACACACAGGTAGAGTATGGATTTGCATGACTACCATTACATAATTGAAATTTCAAATAAGTTTTTGCTTTAATTTTCTAATTGTTATTATATTAATAATTGTATAATATATTAGTTATAGTATATTAATGTAGTAGTAAATGTTTTTCATAAATTGATTTGACTTATTAGACTTATTTTGATTTTAATTTACAATTAATTTTATTTGTATCTGTTGGTCAAATATGAAATTAGTTTGTTTAACAAGGCAAATTTGCTATTTAGTTACTATTTAATTTATTGAAAAAAATATATGTGAATTGCGTTAAAAACTTAGTACTAAGAAAAAGGTATCATTAAAAACAGAATTCCTCTTTAATGAATTCAATTAACAGACATTATATAATTCGTTTTATTCTTTATTAATATTATTAATTAACTCCATTAAATTTTGTAATACACTGATTTAATTTATGTAGAAAATGTTTAGCAATTATTTTTTAAATTAAATGTAGGATATTTCTAATCTAATAATATAACTTCGGCCATATTTTAAGAAGCTTAAAAATTTACCGATAGACAAATCTTCTAATACATAGATAAAGATTAAATATTATATTAAATCGAGTTTTATATCATATGATTGCGTATATTTCACAGCGTAATATTGTGATTAAACTTGAAAAGCATCAACTTTAAAATAGTATTTTTAAATAAATAAACTCTTCTCTAAACTTTTAATCTCTTTGAGAAATCATCATTAGTACATTTAAATCGAAGTGATTAAGACTGTCATTCCAATTACAATTTAAAAACTTAAATTAAATATACATAAATATAGTTTCATATTATCTATTAAAGTTTATACAAGATATATTTCAAAGTAATTCAACTATTTTTATTTATTTTCAGTCAATTAACCGATTCCGAAATCAATGTTTTGTATGGGAGTCATTTATGCTTCAGTTTAATATGATTTTTTCAATCATTTTTTTTATTTTTAGAGCAATATAAATAATACAATATAAATTAGCCAGATTTATGATATATTAGTCCTATATTTTGAATAATAAATTTTTGTATATTGAGTTTTATTTTTATTGAATTTTGAATATCACTTTAGTTTTATTTGTACAAATATTAAGTCTGAATATGTTTTTATTAAAAACAAGTGATCTGCTAAATCAGTCATGGTTTATTCGGGGATTCATTGTAAATATATTTTCTCCTAAATTAATTCATTAAATATTTTATTTAATAAATTAAGGTATCATTTTGTGATCATTTTTCAATATATTTTCGTGCAAATTTTTATTTGAATATAATTCAGAACAATATTTGTATTGTTTCAATAATTTAATTTCGAGAAATAAGATAAAACAATGAGTTACTAAGTAATATTATTAAAATATTCAGAAAATTTAATAATTTTATAATTACCATATATGTAATGATAGTGTGACATTGTTACAGTGAGTATAGGTACATGAAAAAGAATCGGCAAGGTATTATTAGGTAAAGGGACTATATTGATATGGTTTGGACCGAATGAAAGTTTTGCTTCTCATCCTGATGGCTCTGAAAATAACACGTGTCCATATCTTAGTCTGTTCCTGTATATTTAATAAGTGTAAAATATGTAAGAATAATAATAACCGTTGTCGAATGCTGTAAAAAGAATAACAATCCATTCAGCACATGGTTATCTCCATGTTTGTTTTAATTTTGAAAAATGCATTCTTATGAGATAATTACTATTGATTCTTCTCTTTGGATACATTTATTATAGGAAAAGACTTTAAAATTGTCATTAAATTATTATTTGATCAATTTTATATTTTTGTGAGTGGTTATTTTATTGTATTGGTTTTGTGATTAATTTTATTGTCCTGATAGGTATTCTGTGCAACCACTCACTTTTCTTCCAATTACAATGAACGAGGCTGTTTGGACGCTGGCTTAACTAAATTCCAAATTGATCATTATTTTCTTTCGCGTACTCGTTTGCTATTGTATATCTTTCTCACTCTTCACACAGATAACACCTTCTCTCACTCTCCTTTTCTTTATCCTTTTCTCGCTTAATTGTATAACGAAAGTGAAACTTGTCACCATATCCTACAAACATTAATTTTCTTCAAGTCAATTCTCTCTCTCTCTCTTTCATCTTATATAATATTTATTCCAAACGAAAGTATGCCTTGTTAAAATATTCGGTCGGGTATAATTATGTCTTTTATTTTTATACATTTCTTTAATTGTAAAGTACGTACTATTGCAGCACACGATAATTGATTTTTTATCTTGCATTGCATTTTATTACTCATCTGCAAGGAAAATGAAGTGTGTACTTATTGAAGAATATTAACTTTGTAAAAAATATCAGGAAAAAATAAATATTGTTAGTATACGTTTGTAGTCTTCTTAATTCCATTTAATTCATCCATTTTCCCTCTATTTTCATCTCTCTTTCTATCTTCTATTCTATAATTGAAGAAATATCTTTTATTTTTTTTATCTCTGGTGAGAAAGCAACAGAAATCCTATTCTTTAGAGACTTTAACGTATGTCGATAATTCATGCATCCAAGAATCAATACATTTGACAACTATTAAGAACATTATTCTTTATATTTGTAAAAATACTATTTGATTATTATTTTATCAATCTTTAGCATTTTTAATTTTTTCTTTATTTTTCCTATTGTATTTAGTAAACTACCCTAGCTAGTTTAATTTGCAAAATATTATATTACAGATTATATCATTATTATATTTAATAATACAACAAACTAAGTATATTCATAGGGAATGAACGTAATATGAGTTTAGATTTAATAATAATGAAAACAAAACACTAACGCAAATATGAAGATAAAATTGTTATGGTAAAAGCTGTACAATCGAACACATAAAATATAATATAGATATAAATGAACAATATTTAAGAATTTAAAATAATACTATATATTTATTAAAATTTATTTAAATACGTTATTTAAATATATTTATTTAAATACTTATCTTTATTTAAATACGTTTATATATTTTTAAATAAGCTTAATATAAGCTCATTAATAACATCATATAAATAATGTAGAACTGTTAATATTTTAATAATATTTAATAAATAAATATTATATATAACAAAATTTTTTTTTAACTTATACATTATATAAATGAAAAAAATAATATTGTATTTTATTAATAAATAATGAATTTCATTCATTAATTAATAAATATAGATTTTGAAGGTCAAAATTAAAAAAGAAAGTCATTATAAAATAAGCAATTTCTTAACAATCAATATATTTATCGTATTACATATTCAAAATTAAATCGATAGTACTAATATAATATTAAAAAATTGTCCCTGTAAGAAATTAATAAATATGTTTAGGTTTAATTACAAGTTAAAATTTTTTTGTCGTATTTATTAATTATTATCTACTCGCATAACTTTTCAACAATTTTATGATTAACTGAAACGAATTGTCAAATTTTTCCTGCTTTAATAGATTCATTCTTTTTTAATAATACTCAACACTATATGTTTTAAATACTGAAAAGCTTCGCCTTATTCTTAAAATAAAAAAGAAGGGGCTAAATGATTGCTACTGATGAGAAGTCATTGTATAATAAATACATTATAATTCTTTATTATAATACCTTTATCTTCATTCATCAGAAAAAGGACTACTTTATATCATCTTCTCGTCCAAGAAAATATTCCACTGAGTGCAGTGATAAAATTTAGGAGAATTAACGTGTACTTTTCGTAATCAAAAGGAATTTCCCCTTCATTTCCGAGTGTGTAGCTTAGAAAAGCGAGAAAATGTACGTAATTATTAT